TGATCCAAAGAAAACAAGGGTAGGTTATTAGGCGTGTCACAGAGAAGAAAAAAATCACTTAAAATTACGTTCTCTATCATACAGTCCTGAATGCGCACTAAGAAAAAATCGTGATAGCTTAGTCACTTTCAACAACCCGGTAGTATTGTGAGGTGCCTTAAGCCTCTTCCGGTTTAAATTTTCACACACATCTTCTAAATTATATTTAAATATTACTGAAGAAACTAGCACGCATAGGCAAGCAAGTTGCAAATTAAAACAATCGACAAAAGTTATAACTATGAAGATATATTTGCAAGTGATTTTAATTTCAGTTAAGAAACTTCTACTTACTTCTAGTTCCTGAAAATAGAAACTTTTCCTTCAAAGTTAATGTAAATATCGGAATCTAGATGAACATTTACTAAACGAATACTTGTAACCTCAAGGCTTATAATAGGGTTAGTTAGTAGGCATATCGAGTTGTCCCTCATCAACTTATGTTGCGAGCTTGCAAGGCATTTTTATTTGTCATTAATAAGATAATTTTTACTTACCAAAAAAAAAAGTTAACATAGAGGCCATATTTTAGGTTAATATTAGGTAATCTATAACCTCTGGATTTGTCTGAGAGGTCCAGAATTATTTGACTACGTTTTGAGCCAACCAATTTCACCTCTTGGTAAAAGCTCTATTAGAGCCCTAATTTGGTGAGTAGTTACCAATTTTTGTTCAAGGATTTATCTCTCAACACAATTCAACTTCTGAGGACATCATTCAAGGATATTATTACTAAAATTTGACAAATATAGGTAAACTTTTCTTGGGTGACAGCTTATTTTAATAAAATGCTAGTTGGGCATGTTGTTGTATAGCATCAGTTGGAAGTGAATCATAAAAAACTATTGGAAAACTAAAAGCCAATTTTCCCTTTTATTTACATGATATGAAATAAAAATAAAGTTATAAATCACGATGCGCTATAGAAAATGCAAGGAAGCTAAAAAGCTTAATCACACCCTGACACATCTAAAGTTGGATTCTAGGCATCATTTTGTAAAATGTTCATGCAATTAAGTCGGTAACCATTGAAATTTTGAGTTTTGTGTCACATAAATTGCTAAAAGCAAGTTATTTGAACAAACAAAGGCGCTTAACTAAAAAACAAAACTGACCTCATCAATCTATTTTACTAACCGATTACAACCATTCATCGGCTTTTTTTGGTAGATAGTTAAACCTTTCAATATTCGGCTTGAAAGGTGTTGATTGTCATAAAGAAAAAAGAAGGTGAAAAAATCGAATTCATCTATCCGTAAAAACTGAATTTATTATTATTATTTCTTATTCTCATATGTGAAAAGATCTCACCCATACTACCTGTCATTTCACTATGTCCATACGGAATACCCATTTCAACATCTGCCATCCCATATAGCCCTCTGCGAGACACTGAATTGTTCAATTATAATATACATAAAAATATTGCTGAAGTGCAAAAATTAAAATGAATGCCCTTCTCGCGACGGAAATTATAAGGTTCTTTATCACATAAGTTAAATTACATCTTACTGTGCGGCTACTCTCGAAAGTTCGGATTCAAACTTATTCTATTACGACCTTTTGCTCTTCTCGAAAAACAAAATTATACAATATGGAATGCATTTTCTGAGTTTTCTTCGCCTTTAATATCTATTTTCGTATTTCACCGATTGATCGGTTATACGCTTCAGTGTACTTGGAAGCAGGCTCGAACTTTCTAATAACCTCGAATGCACGGTCGTACTATCTGTGATATGCAAGGATTATTGCATAGTCCTGTGCAGGGCAGTTATGCATAGAAAAGCTATGACTCCATATATGCTGCACATCACTTTAATAGCTCCTGGTTCAATCACCATAAAATCGCATAACATGGTACTCGTTGATCTTCATTCAAACTACCAACATGTATCTGGCCGAAATTATCTTTACCAACTAAAACTCATATGTGCCGGATGGCGTCTAAAGGAGCCAAAACATCGTATTTTTAATAAATGATTCAAGTTGATCGAATCCCAAGAATGTATAACTTAAAAAGATGATTTATTTATTAATATACAGGGTTTGTCCGGAAAGTGACAGGACTGAGTCGATTTAAAAAAATTTATTGAGCCAATCGTTACAATTCCATTTCCAAGCATTCAAGGCGTCACGGAAGGCATTCACCGGAATAGCCTTGAGAGCCGCAGTGCATGCTGCTTGGATCCCCTCTGTCGTCTGAAAATGCTTGTCTTTCATTGGCCTTTTCAGGCGAGAAAACAAAAAAAGTCCGGGGGGGGGGCACATCTGGGCTGTAGGGCGGCTGCGGAAGCGTTGGGATGCCAGCCTTGGTCAGGTAAGCTGTTCACAAGAAAGGCGGTGTGAGCCGGGGCGTTGTCGTGGTGCAACTTCCAGTCGGCTGTGATGTCTTGTCGGACCCGACTGACCCTTCGTTTGAGTCTCCTGAGCACTTCCACGTAAAACTTGGCGTTGACGATTTGTCCAAGGGGAACAAATTCATGGTGGACGATGCCTTTGATGTCAAAAAAGACAATGAGCATCATTTTCACTGGATTTGCTCATTCTTCCCTTTTTTGGACGAGGAGACGCCGTCGTGTGTCACTCGGAAGATTGCCTCTTTGTCTCGGGATCATACACAAGGATCCACGACTCGTCACCTGTGATTACGTTATTAAAAAATTGGGGGTCACTTTCACACATGTTCATATTTTCTTGGCACACTTCCACTCGCCGCAATTTCTCGTCGTCAGTGAGCACTTTTAGGACCATCTTCGCGCACACCTTGCGCATGTTCAAATGCTGTGTCACAATGTCATGAACAAAAAATTTTGGTAAATTTAACATCTGGGCAATTAAACGAATACTTAGTCGACGGTCTGAGTTCAAAACTTTGCGCACACGAGTCACGTAATCGGTGTTTGTCGAAGTCGAAGGTCTTCCAGCACGGTCTTCAGCAGCGACCTCTTCCCGGCCCTCCAAAAAGGCCTGGGCCACCGAAACACACCACTTCTTGCTAAAGCAACACCTGGGTAAGCCTGCTTGATCATATCAAACGTCTCTGTCGCAGATTTACAGAGTTTCACACAGAATTTAATCGCGTACCTCTGCTCTAACGAACGCTGCATTTTCGGCTTGCACCACTCACAGAAACACGTCGCTCGAAAATGCCTGTCCTGACTCTCCAAGTGCTCGGAGACAACTGACCAGCCGCTCATTCGTTAGCTAGGAACGCCCTCTACCGAATCCAGTCGGTGCGCGCATGCTCCGAAGTACAGTCATGGTGGAAGAAAATGAGTCTCGGAGTTTCCGGACAAACCCTGTATATACTGTCTTACTGCTGTGTAGTTTAGTACTCGTGTCTGGATGCTGCCACTAAGAACATGATGCCAAAACTGCAAAACAGCTGTAGGTTTGTTTTCAGTGTAAAGAAATCTGATTAATATGAATATTTCATGTTATATTAGGGAGCTGGATTGCTATGCTTAGACGTTACTCACAAATATCAAATGCTCACTCTGACTCATAAAATATTAATTACACAATCCCCTTTTATGTCTTCGCCGTTGTAGGACAAAATTTAACGTCAGAATTAAAAATTGCATAGAAATCCCTCTTTGCAGTACTACATTTCTCCGTCGGTCGTTTACTCACAACTCCATCAAAATATCCAATGCTGCAAACGCCCATTTGAAAACTCTGTCGGGAAACAGTGTGAAAAACAAGCCAAACAGCTACTTTTACATTGTTACCGTTCCGTTGGCAGATTGATTCAGTTTATTTTATCTTATTGTATTATTTTGCTTCTCATAGAATAATTATTGCGGTTTAGTGTCATCGTATGTTCCTTGTCTTGCATACGTATTTATAGAATTTTTGAATGTGTATTTTTTTGTACAATTCTAATTTTTTATGTGTTGAGACATTCTATTCTCTTTAGTTAATGGTGTTATTTGAGTAGGATGAGTGGAATAGATTCATCGATACGCCACCTATAAAGAATAAGATGTGATATACCTTTGTATTCCAATGAACCTCTTTTATTATTATTACTATTATTATTATTATTAGCTGCTTAATCCGGAAGAGAACGTGCATTTTTTTAAATGTTAGTAGCTTTCCTTCTTTGTCAATATTATCCATGAGAGTGTCCTCCGACACACCACTGCAATTCATAACAGTCAGTGCTAAGTTCATCAAAATGGGCGCAAGGATCTTTGAGACGCTTACTAAGAAGCAAATTGTTTATAAAACTTTGTCACCCTGTGTACTGAAAACTATAGTTTCACGAACGTTTCTAATCAAATTTGGTTCAGGAATGCTCTTGTATCATTGAACAACACCCTGTATATGGCACCTGGTAGTGCAACATGGGCGATCTTTACACTGTGGGCTAACTATATACAGGGTTTTTTGAAACTTGGGACTTTTCTTTCCAGAAACAATTACGTTTAAAATAACAAAACTATTGTTAGATAAAACAGCAGCGAGAACATAAAAAAATGTCAAAAAGTACTTTGTTGACAAGTTTGTTGACGACCTAGTTCTGCTACATTTGGCGATGTCGAGATCATCTGCTGTGTGCACCTCGACATCCTACCTAGCTTAGAACGCAAGCCTCTGAACAATCTGACTACACTCGCGAAGTATATCTTGAAGACACTCACAGTAAACGAATATCAAATCGGTAAATTTGTTAATGCTTTAGGAAGCTGCCAACTCCGGTTTTTCAAATCCGATAAGCTAGATCAGTGGTCGCCAACCTTTTCAGTAAGTTGAGCTATTTGATAATTTTGAAATAAACAATGAGCTACCTAGTCGTAAGCAATGTAAGCCAACTTTAATGAAATTGTACACAGTTGTACAGAAATCATTTCTGATAGTTCTATGTCTCTTCCCTGAAGCTGCAAATTAAGTTCATTTAATTTTTATGTAATATCCACAAGAAAACCAAAATCTTTAAGCCAGATTGGGTTTTCCAGTTACGGCATCAGTTCATCACGTTGTTTGAAAAATTGAACTATGGCAGTTATGATATCATTAAAACGTTTCAGCACTCGCCCCCACCTTAACCGTTGGACTTTAGAGTGAAAAAATAGTTCCCCGTATTGACAGTCAATTTCATCGGCCAAGGTTTTGAAAAATCTTCTTTGTACCGTTTGAGCTCTAATCTTATTCACAATTTTTACCATCAATTTCATAATGTTGTTTAGTTTTAGAGAATGTCCACATATCGCTTCGTGATGGCTAATGCAGTGGTAACAGAGGAATTGCGGAAATCTTTCATCTTTACGACATATCCCCACAGGACCCTTATCACGACCCACCATAGCTGGAGCGCCATCGGTTGTCAAGCCTACCATTTTCGATATTGCAATTTTTTCAGAAGAAATAATATTTTTAAAAGAACAAAATAAGTCATACCCAGTAGTCTGTTCTTTTAGTTTAATAAACTCCAAAAGATCTTCTTTAATCTAAAATCACTAAAAACCATCCTGACGAATACGGGTATCTATGAAGTGTCAATGACATGGGTGGATTTATCCAGCTGCAGTGAAAAATAAGCACAGTTATCGAAGTCATTGCTCAACCGTAAAACTATATCATTGTTCATTATTTATACTCATCACTGTATTAGTAGACAGTTGCATAGGTTTTATAGCAGACATTATCTCGTCTTTATTTCTAAAGTTGGCAGATAATGACCCCGCAGCTTCTAAAAATGCCTGTTTCATAATTTCCCCGTCTTCATAAGGTTTCTTCTTTTGTATAATTATCTGGGATACCCGGTATGATGCTTCAGTTGCAGGCTTACTTTTGTCGATTGTTTTTAAAAACATTGTCTGTTGTCCGATTAACTGATTTTTTAATTGCTTCAGTTTTTCCGTTCTGGTTGCAGAACCTAATGGAAATGCTTTTTCAAAATTCGAATCTGCAGTTTTATAGTGCCTCTCGATATTCTCTCTTTTAGAACCGGAAACAGATTTATCGCATAACAAATATACATTTTTACCTTTAACTTCTGTAAAGAAATATTGTTCTTCCCATTCCGACTTGAAATGGTATGTCTTTATCTTCTGTTTACTGGTCATAATTTTTTTAATTGCTTGTGTTTATTATAAAATATATAAAATATTTATTAGAGAAATGTATGGAATCTTTTATGATTTTTACACCTTTCTAAAATATGTTGTGAGCCACCAGAATTGTATTTGCGAGATACCGGTAGGTCGCGATCGACGAGTTGGCGACCACTGAACTAGATCAACATACAGACCGCGTGTCGCTTGATTTCGATACTGACTGACATCGTGGTATGCCACAAAAAATCGCACCTGTGACGTACGATGCAGGGTTGGGCTGGCGCATTAGGACTCTTCCAGAATATAATATCTCAGTTATTTCAAATGTACGTGTTGCTACAGAAATTTGCTTGTTATTGTCTGACCTGACAATCACAACCTGTATATGCTGTTCCGTGCGTTGATACAACCTTGTGGCAAGAGACGGCGCAACATCAAGCTATTTACATCACGCTCTATATTGGACTTCGGCGTAGTGCTACTGTCTATGTTCATCGCCCAGTGATCCATACATGCGAATACCTTGCAAACATTTAGAAAGCAAAGTAACAAAAAATGAATAAAATTCGTTATCCATAAGTTAGCACCTCAAATCATCAGTTGGCAATGAAGCAGAACTTTTGTTATCTTCCCCATGGAGGACAATCAAACTTGAAGTTTCTAGTAAACCATTCAACGCTACTATCTTAGGGCAAAAGTCAAGAGGCCCTGTAGTATCCGTGTTATTAACATATGCGTATGGATTCAAGAGGGAAATAACTGTAGTCAGATATTTCTGTAAAGAAAGGCAAGTAGTCTTGCGGAAACTTAGATCAAAAACAACAAGCAAGTCCGCAATAAAGGAATAGCAGCAGAAATAGAAGGTTTGGTAACCTGATAGTAGGTTTCTATTTATTAGTGTACTATGGTACAAACACACTGTACAGAAACTGTATAAATGTTGTTATTGTAAACTATTAGAAGTTGTCAGGTACTGCAAATAATATACTTAAGTAGAGCATCTACCGCGCAATACTTAGCTACACAGAAAAAATGGAACAAAGTTAATCATAAAAGGATTAAGGTCTTTCGCTATGGGTGTAACAGCTCAGCGTTTATAAATTTATTACATGGTGATCCTGCCAGGATTAGGAAATGTTGTGCCATATGGAGCTACTGATTTGATATGAATAATGTCAACACCACAAAAGATTCTGTTGAAGATCTGCATCATGGTCTCAGTGCGCAGTACGTTTTTAGTGTCACTTAAAACGTACTGCGCACGCTCATTATGATTCACTGTACGGTACACGACTTTGTTGGAACGAAGTCAATATTTTTGGCAGCTTGTCGGTACTCTGGACCACTCTGCGCCGTTGTAAATGCTAGGATGCGCATGATATAAATTGACCTGTGTATGCGCCATCTCTTGGCACAGACTTGTATTAACGCACGATTCTACGTCAGCTAGCTGAGGTGCAAGTACGGTCATACTCGAAACCCTACCTGACGCAAGCAGTAAATTTTGATATTGAAAGTCCCAAACAGTATGTTACAAAGTCATATATCTCCTTCACATTGGTTATGTATACATCGCAGGTAGTCAAGCGAAAATATGGTGCATAGCCAGGCTTAGCATATATAGTCAACGCCAAACAAAGTGGCGTGCACGTCATCACGATAAAAATTCCCCGACCTAATGCCTAGGTTTCTATCACAAACAATTGCTCTATTGCAGTTTCATATTAATGTGATATATAAATTGTAAAATGGTCATTACTCTCTTATTATGGTTAATAGTCATATAAACATTGTTATTAAAATATCACATAAGTTGCTTTCTGATAAATTTAGACGCATTATGCGAAATAAAATGTTTTGCAAACGCTCCAATCACTTATCGACATGTAAACGCACTAAACCGATTTCGCAGCGTTGACACATTGTCACCTTGAAACTTATTTAAACTGGGAACTGACATTTGTATTAATTTTGACACTGAATCAATTTGTGGCATTTCAAATCTTTATAAATTCTTTGGCCCCGCATACTGTAAATCAACAACTGTTTGTTTCAAAACAAAATTATTCATTTTACGAGTAGATAAAGGCAATTTTGGTATATAAAGATGCCCAAACAGTTAAATAGTCGGTGTAAGGAACTCGTGGCCTCGTTAATGCACTACTTTGAGCAAGAAAGGGACAACAACGGGCCTTTGTTGCCTTTAAATGCTGTTCAAGAGGTAGGTTACTAATAATTATATGTAATGTATATTAATAATAGTGAAATTTTATTTCATTTTTTGTAGCGTGTTGCTGCTGCTTTAAAAATTAGTTTAAGGACAGTCGTATTTCCGAGGGTGTGAAAAGTGATGCAAATTTAGAATCGCCCAAGAAAAAGCGGAGTTATATTAAACGTGTTACCAACACAGCGACATTGGATACAAGTGCCATTCGAGAAGTGATCTATAATATGTATCACAAAAGTAAGATCTTATTATAATAACTTATCAGAAATTTGCATTGATTTGTTAACTAAATTATAATGTCATATTACACATGGTTTCAGAAGAACAAGTTACGATACAAACTTTATGGTCTCGATTAAGAGATAGGGCATTATTTGATGGTAGTGCCACGTCTTTAAGGCGGTTGCTTAGAGATCTTGGATTTAAGTGGCTTAAGGACAATCCGCGATGAGGGCTCATGGAACTACCAAGTATAGCTTTGAAAAGGGTGGAATTTCTAAGGCAATATAATCAAGCCAAGGTTGAGGCCTTATACCAGTTTGTCTTCCTCGATGAAACTTGGATATTTCAAAATGGGACCATAGGTCGCTCTTGGCAAAATGGAAACCAAAAAAGCGTGAAAGCTATTAAAACAGATGGTAAAAGGTATGTACTTTTACACAATTTGCACTATAAAATTTAAAACTAATATATTTTAGATACATTATATTACATGCTGGAAATGAAAATGGGTTTATTGAGGGTAGTGAAGCGATATTTTCTTCGAAAACAAAATTGAGCGATTACCATGGAGAGATGAACCAGGACAATTTTTTGAAATGGTTTCAACATCAGTTATTAGAAAAATTGGAGAGTCCATCTATGATTATACTGGATAACGCCCCTTATCACAGCATGATATTGAACAAAGTGCCCAACAATGCATGGACAAAAAAAATATCCAAGACTGGTTGACAAATCAAAACATACCATTTTTAAACACAATGTTTAAAACAGAGCTATTGAGTATTGTTGGTCGGTACATAATGCTTCTTAATTATATATATTTTGGTCGACAGTTTATATTTCGTTTGTTTATTCCTATTCTTAAAATAACTGCTTTTTTAGAAACAAACCACCTAAAATATACGTGATTGATGAATTGGCGGAACAACATGGGCACAAAGTTCTTCGTCTGCCTCCTTACCATTGTATATTTAACCCTATTGAGTTAATTTGGGGCATAGCAAAAGGTTACTATAACAGACATATTGGTAGAGATGGTAACAGTGAAAAAGACTGTTTGGATATGTGGAACGAGGCTCTACAAACGGTTACCCCAGACATGTGGAAAAATAGTGTTCGACATACTGAGCAAGAAATTTTTAAATGGTATGAAAGAGAACGAATTTTTGATCGACCAGACATCGAACCTTTAATAATCAACTTTGAGAGTGATGAAGATTCAGATTCAGACAGCGCTGAAGAAAGAAACTCCGACTAACTTTATTGTACAGAAAAAGCTTACACCAGTAGCTTACCTAATTTTAGAATGCATTTTTCTGTATGAATTCTGTAAAATAAATACCATGCATAAAATTTGGAGGACCCCATTTGGATTTTTATTCAGTACCTTTAAGCTATCAATTAAATATGGTAGTTTCATAGTGTCATCTGATCAATAATTGTCATACTTAATGATTATGCAAGTACAGATCTATAATTTTATTATACTATTATTTTTGTTCTCATTTGAGGTTAATATTGCTTATAAACCTAGATATGTAAATAATAAATTTTATTATTTTACAAAAAGTTTGGCAACAATGTAAATTTTTCAACACACCCACCTTGATGACGTGTACGCCACTTTGTTTGGCGTTGACTATACCATGCTGGTTATTTACCATTGGGGTCTGCTGGTTTCAATGCGCGAAAGAAACAAGCTCGTTACCAAGGACAGCGATTCTTTGGACACCTAATTCGCGCGCACACTTTAACATACATACATTTCTCTCTCTATCTCACTCTTGCACATAGAATACGGTAACGCAATGATGTATCACTACCATCGTAGTTTAAATATGCACATAACCGGCCACGTACAGGACTATGGTGCGCTGTGGCTATTTAAACGCTCGGCTAACTTTGTGTAAATATGAGCAGTGTTGTTTGACATTGTAGCATCTATGTTTATAGAGACTTTTTATATTGTTTTTATGCATATTCTCTTTTCTAGAAATGTTATCAGTGTGTCTCGAATTTACCTGCATTTTTGCCGAATTAACCTGTCCTTTCCGGAGTGCATTCTTGCAAAAACATTTCACAAGCTGTTTTTACTTGCTATGCCAAAACTGGCGAGGAAATTGTGAAAAATGTAGAAATTGAGATATGGTGTTTCTTGTCATGCCACTCATTTCCGTCGGTCCGTCTGTCGGTCTATCCCCTAATTTTAAAACCGCATATAATATGAGAAGTACCGCTCGGATTTTGATGAAATTTTCACACAATGTTATTACTATAGGATAAAAACGCTTTATAGTGATGGCGGAGCTATGGGCAAAAAATACAAAAAAAAAAAATAAAAACCGCTTAAGCTTCGACTCCGACGCTTCTAATTTTTTTGAGGGTTGAAACTTGGGGTGGGGGCTGTAGGTTGTAGGGGGTTGCAAATTGTAACGTCTGTAGTATTAGTCAAAGATGTTATATCATTAAGAAGCTTTTGATCCCGGTAACAGCAAAACAATTAATTGATAAAAGTCCGATGTATGTGCTCAAGTGGCAATCGTTGGCGTTGAGCGCACGGCGCGATGCTGCATCGTCGTGAAAGCCT